CCCCCCCCCCGCCTGTCTGTTACCTACCATCAGCGCCACCCCTCCCACCCCGTTACATACCGTCATCGCCACCCGTTACCTGTTATCATCATTGCCTTCGTCTGAGTCCTGCCGCCCACCGTCGCCGCCGCTTTCGCACGCCATGCGACACCGCTCGCACAGGTATTGATCCGTATTGGGTGGAGCAATGAAAATGTCATGTACGCAATGGGCAGCGGCGTTTAATACTGGAGAGTCGCACGGACCCGGCCGTCTTATAAAAAATAAAGTTTTCTTTTAAAAAAATAAAAAATGCTCAATCAAATATGTTAACTATATATATATATTAAATCACATAAATCATAACAATATGAAATTTATTTTCTAAAAAAATAAAAATAAAATAGATTAAAAAAAACTGATCTAAACATACTGTAAATTAAGAATGTTTTCAATTTAATTTTAATAACTAAAGAGTTTACGGATTCATCCGCCGGCTGGATTTTTACAGCCCACTTCAAATAATAAAATTTACTCATCCGTTTCGATTAAGAAAAACCCATGACTTCGCCACTACTGCTAAATCAGAAGCCCGCAAAACAAACGCGTTGGCCCTCTAACGGGCTGTGAATTTAGCTAGAAGGTCAATAATCGATCCGAAATTAATTCTATTTTAGCTCGGATTGGGATTGAATCAAAAAATAAAAGGATTTAGATATAAATCAAAACTTTTAATATTTTCTTAGCCGATTTTGAGCCAAACATGATGTGACGAGAACCGATTTAGGATCAACTTGAAGTATTTTTATTTAAAAAAAAAATTATATATATAATGTTAAATAAAATTAAATATAATCGTTAGTTGATTTTGAGCTGAAACAGATTCAAATAACTCAATTTGAGTAAACTAAATTTGATTTTGAGTCAATTTTGAGCTGAAACGATTCAAAATAACTCAATTTGAGCCAACTAGTTTCAGTTTTGAACCGGATTGAGCTCGATTCAATTTTGAACTTAGCAGACTCAAAATCAACTATAACGAGCCACACTTAATCCAATTGAGTCAATCGCAAGGATTCAAAATAACTCAATTTGAGCCAACTAGTTTCAATTTTGAATTGGATAACGAGCCACACTTAATCCAATTGAGTCAACCCCAAATCAGCTCAAAAACAGTTTGTAATGATAATGCTAAATGTGTCTTTATTTTATATATTCACAACAAATATTTCATAAGGCTATAAGAGAGAAATTTGATATGTTTTTTTCCCTATATTGTATTTTATAAACAACCGCATTGTCAAAAGAGCATTATTTTCTTCATCAAATGCATTTATTTAAAACTTTAAAATTTTAATAAATATGTATTTGTTGAATCCAAAAATGTCATGTATATCACACCAAAGTAATAGAGCATTAGACGAACGAGAAGAATAGAGAGAGAAAAAAAAGTGTCATGCACAATAACAAGTTATCAGACAGCAGATTCCGTAGTCTTTTCTTGAAGAAATGGCTCATTATGTATAGAACATACGAGTATATAGTAAAATTGAATATTTGTCCTTATTTTAATAAAAGCATGACAAGTGATTATTGCATTTTTTTTATATTTGTTGCTGATTGAGGGATTTTTTCGTTTCCATAATTGACGTTGACACCATTTCATATGAGTTACTTGCTAAAAAAAAGGTGAAAACATTTAATGACATGCTGGTGTTGTTATTTGATCATTTGATATCGTTCGGTCTACTATAAGACCTTCAGTCGACTATCTCGATTGTCTTCGGTCAGCCTCCTCAAGAGAATCCTAGGTAGAAAATCTCTTCTCTTTGAGGTTAACTTGGATAAGAGAACTTATCAGAGGTTTAGAAATATATTACGGTGCCCTTTGGCCATCCCTGTGAAGAATTCTGAAATCATTTTAAGGAGCTAGCTACAGCTTACTTTCCCTCGGATCACGTGCCTCTTGTTCTTTAGTTTGGTTGAGTGTTTTTTCGGTCGGCTTTTGGTTCTGACCAAAGGAAACAATGTTCGGCGTTTGTATTAATTCGTTATCCTGATACAGTGCACCAGTGTCTCATAGCGAAAACTGTTGAATTTTTGCGCCATTTGTATGATCATATTTTTTATTTACATATTTAGTTTTCTATTGTCTTATTAATAGAAAGTGACAATTGTGAGATGGATAAACAAATTAAATGTAAAAATTCACTTATGTATTGCATAATAAGTACTTGTATTAATTGAAATTCTTGATTTTCATGTTCGTATTTCACATAAATAGGGCATAATTATTATTAATCAGTACTTTTACATCATCGTTTCGAATTTTCAACCCTTTAGTCGGTTTTTAGCAGAGAATGGTGATGGCGAGAAGTAAGAAGCCCGCATGTGAAGGAACTATGCCAAAGGTCTTATGGCTTTAGACCTACAGACTTTGTCTTCCTTACGTGAGAAGAAGAAAAACCCCATGGGTACTTGGTCGGCACTACAGAAAAAATATGTAGATGAAGACCGTACGACAAGAAAGAAGTCGGAGGGTGAAGGATGGATTTTAGGCTCAAAGAAACTGAGATAAGTAGGGTTGTTAACGATCCTATTTTGATACGTGCTAAGGTCAGCTCAAAATCGTCTAAAAAAAAGATTTAATCCAAAATTTTGGCTTGTACCTCGGCTCATTTATTTTGATCTGATTTTTATGTGAGCCAAAATTCTCAATTTTCGAGCGATTTCTAATCTTTGAGCTACATTCGCTAAATTCATAGTCGTACTCTGCTAACGATCCAATTTTGAGTCAAGTTGGGGTTAGCTCGAAAAAATTTTGATCCATTTGGCTCTTAGCTCAACTCATTTTATTCAATCTGATCTTGATCTGAGCCCCGACCAAAGGGAATAAAATTGGTCAAGCAAGCAGCGCACACAAAACAATGAGTGGAGGATATGGCCAAGTCATTCGAGTCATTGTCACTCCATGAAATAGGGGTTGGACCGATGTGCACACCACTTATGCACCGACCCTTGCTCCATATCTTGTCTGTCAGCTACCAGCTCATCTATCGTCACAGCAATAGGTGCAGGTAACTATGGCAACCTAGGTCCAAGTGCATGAAGGTGTGTCTCTCCTTCCTTCAGCCAGCAAGACCAGCTAGGTGGTCGATCAACCGCTTGCTAGCGAGAGTCGCCACATGTTTGAGATGGATAGAATAATTATATGGAAATATCTTCCTTAGTTGCTCTATTCATTTTCCTATTCATTGACTCCCCAACCATGGAAGTTGTCCAACCTTTCGCTCTAGAGGTGACTGACGGACCATCTACTCCAGCCCAGGGTAGAGGTGCACATGGCATTTTGTAGACTCCTGAGGAAGTCGAGAGGGAGATCGGCGGTCACAACCTTTCGCTCTAGAGGTGACTGACGGACCATCTGCTCCAGCCCAGGGTAGAGGTGCACATGGCATTCTGTAGACTCCTGAGGAAGTCGAGAGGGAGATCGACGGTCGGTGGGGTTCTCAAGGTCTGGGGAAGTCGAGAGGGAGATCGGCGGTCAGTGGGGTTCTCAAGGTTCACAAGTTTGACGCATCGACGAGACGGTGGACTCCTTAGCTTGAGAGGTTGGTCTTCAAAGGAGGCAGTAATAGCAAACTTGAAGGAGGAGTTGGAGATCCTATAAGTTAATTTAGGGATGCTCTGGGCAGAGGTGGTCAATCTCCTGACATAGTTGATCAAGGTCCAGACCAGTTCCAACTGCTGAGTTTGAGTGAAGAAAGAGGGTATATAAAAATTTTAAGTTTGGAGGGTGTGTGTTGTACTCGAGTCTTATGAGTCGGGCCTGGTGTTACCGTAGGCGGCCGAAGAACCATATACAAAATACTTTATGTCATAATTAAAATTTAATTTTTTGCAATTTTTTTAAAATTGTCATCATTTATTTTTATTTTTTTTTTCATATCTATTTGGTGTGGATTTCCAAAGTTTCAGGTACGGAATCGAGGCATTTTGAATTCCCTTGAGACCCTACACATATGGTTTAACAGAAAGATGAAATTGTGCTTTTTCATTTTCCACTTTTCCTTCTCTTTGGTTTGTTTTCATTTAGAGCTCTTATGACCTTCAAGTATTCTCTACAGTTGTTTGGCTTGGTTCTAGTGAACTAGATATCAATACCGGTATCGTTTGATGCATATTTATTGGATGAAACTTGTGTATATGACTCAAACATCGTGCTCGAGCGGATGGAGCAGGAGGTAAGGGGGATTGTCTACTTGGGGGATAACTTGATCTTCTATCAAGACCAGTTATGATGCGGGCTTCAATTGTCATTTTGCCCAAATTCATTTTGCC